CGGGGTTTGGACACTACTGCGGGGTGGGGGGGTAGGTGCAGGCAAGAAGGGGCTTCTTGTTACACTTCCTAAGCTGAGGCTTTGCTACACTCTTAGTGCCCAAAGTGTGTCAGCCTATAATCTACACAGGACTAAGGCTTTCCAAAAGTCTCTATGTCTTAATTGTTTCCATTACTGAGAAATGTACGTGTACAACAATATCAGCCCTGAGAGGTCCAAGTGGATATTGGGCTGTGTGAGACTATGCTATGGGACCACCAAAATGGAGCTTGACTTCTGTTATATAGGCCCATTCCATACAGCATAGGCCACTTCCCTAGACTCCCTTTGTAACATTCCCATGATTGCATTTGCAAGTCAGCTTTCTGAGGACTGATACATGTGCTAGATACTATTTCCATACAGGATAAGGGAAACTTTCAGGACTGTTGCTGCATTTGCTAAGGCTGTTCTTTAATTGGTGTTTGCCCAGAGGACTAAAACTTACCCATGAGATTTACATGCATTCTCACCCACAGTGAGAACGTGTTTGCAAGCAGTTACTTGAAGGACAAGGAGAAGTTGCTTGCTAGTAACTGAAATTCTTTGAAACTGTCCATATATAAATTTGAATCCTGCCCTCTTTCTCCTCTTCTTCATAGCGAAACATAGTATGAAAGTAGTCAAATGTGTAACTGAGAAGAAATCAAAGAGCAGGAAATGTGTGCTGTTTCTATCCCTTGATGAGCAGCAAGACGAGGGGAGAGGTAAGAATACACTCTGTAGGTACTGCTAAGACAAAGCCTCCAACCGAGGGCTCAAGGTGTAAATATCCTACAGTGTGAATACTTATGTGAGCAGTACATCTCAAAGGACTCCAGTGACTGGTATAAGTTACTCTTTCTTGTTTGCTCTAAACCATGTTTCTTAAGAAAAAGATCTTGCTGAGTTCCTACGTGGTTTTTTTTCTGATCTGTCATTCCAAAAAAATTAGTTCTGGCTTGAAGGCAGTGGTAGGTTCAGAGTCAGCTAATTTTGCACTGTATTTAATCTGAAGTGGAGCATCTTTAAAATCAAAAGTTTTAGTACATAGAGTTTCTTCAGAGCTTCTGATGCCTCTGCCATAGATCTCCCTGTATTTCCAGCTCTCTGCATTAGTCATTTTCATTAAAGAAATTCATCTGTGTGGATAAAGTTAACGTGTTTCTCTGAAAATTCCACATAGGCCTTATCCACATGGCATACTCCTCCTCCTTCACATAACAAAATACAACAGCAGCTCTTGTTCTTTTGTGCTCTGGCAGCATTTGGCTTTAACCTCCCATCCACAGTCTGAAGAATTTCCTTTTTATTACTCTTGAAGGCTGTGACCTTTTTTCAATTTTCTTTCATTTGTGGCAGGTACGGGTTCTATCTGTTTTTCTGTAATTGATTCCTGTTCTCATTTCTCTCGTTCTGCCTTCAGATTAGTTTTGTACTCTGTAAAGCTCTGTCAATTTCTGCAGCTGTTGGAGCTCTGCCTTTGCAACAGCTGCTTCAACCTGGTTGCTGAAAGCTTCCTGGTACATCCTTGCCAACTCTCTCCCAGGTTTCTTTAGGGCTCCATTTATTTTATTGTCTTCACCTTCTCTGTTGGAATTTATGCATGCACTTTCTCTTTGGTGTCACATGCTCCTGTATTGCTTTGTCTTTTGTAGTCTACCACTGTGAGACCTCTGCTTTAGTGTTCCACTGGAGTGCTGTATTGGTGTTCTGGGAGTGAGGGACAGGGATATTTTGGGGGCTGAATGATATTTTTTATTGGACAAACTTTATGGTTGGGAGGGATTTTAGACAAGCTTACTAGCACAAAGTGCCTTTTAGTTTGGAAAAAAGGAAGACACACAGCTTGAGCTAAGTCATGAGCAGAACAATAGCCTGTGAAGAACTGCATATGTAGATAAAAACAACCTGTCTAAAGGAACAGAGTGGGTAGTCAGAGTGATCCATTTGTACCCCTGTGCAGGACACAACCTCTCAACTTGCTGAAATTTCCAGTCTGCTTGGTCTGCAGTAGGTTGCTTTACTTTTGTGAAGCCTTGTGGAAAGTCCTGGCCAGATTTGGATATCATGAAAAGTACATCAAAGTCCTGAGTCTTCTCTGCAACCAGATGACTGTGACTGTTCTTTGTAGTAGATCGAAGATGGATCCATTTGTCATCTGAATAGGGTGAAGCAAGGATATGTCATCACTTCAGCTCATCTCCAGAACAACACCAAGATCCAGGTCTACAATACAGTCATCATTCCCATTCATCTCTACAGAAGAGAAACATGGGTGACCTACCATCATCATCTCAAGAACCTCTAGCGGTATCACCAATGATGCCTCCAAAAAATCCTCTACATCAAATGGGAAGATTGCTGCACAGATGCTGGCATCCACACTGAAGCCAATGTTACTAGTATTGAATTGGAGATCCTCAAGCACTAGCTTTGCCAGACTGGACATTGTGTGTGGATGCCTGACTCTTCCAAAACTAGTACTCTAATCCCAGCTTAGTAACAGCCTGAGGTCTCATGGTGGCCAGAGGAAATGCTACAAGGACACATCGAAGGCATACCTCAAAAAAGGATGCTGACATCAAGAGTTGGGAGGAGCTGGCTGCTAACCAACTCCAATGGCACTGCAACCTCAACCAAGCAGCAACCTATTTTGAGGCAGTGTATTGCTCTCAAAGCAGAGAAGAAAGAGCAGAGGAAGGAAAAGGAGAGGAAACCCAGCCTGCAGCCTGTTCTCTCCTGCTGAAAGAACTGCAACTTCTGCAGATGGATCTCTGGCTCAAGGATTGAACTCTAAGCCACCCCAAGACTCATCAATGAGCCACAGTAGAGATCATCCTTGAATTGTGGGATTCTCACCCCCACCAACAACTACAACACTTTGCTGTTTTAGTGTGAACTGGCCTCTTCCATATCCTGTTGTTTATCTCAACTGAGACACTCGGACATTGCTTCTAAGTATTCCTTAGATTCCAAGGTTCCCTTGCCATCCTATTGGCTTGGTTTAACTGCATCTTTTTGTCTCTTTCTCTGTAGCCCTTTAGTTGCTGAATTGTAGCTGGGTTTGGAGAGTTTCAGGATGTAGGAACACAGGACGGGAAGTGACCTCCTGAGACTTTGATTCTAGTGTGCTACCCACATAGGCATCCATGTCACCATCTTGAGAGCAGATTGCAGTTTTAAATTCTCATTTTCCAGCTGGTTCTTGGCCCTTTCCGACTCTTGGATATGATCTCAGCTTCTCTTGACTAGTGGTGAAATTAATACAGCCAGTTAGAAAATTTCAACCAAACAAATTTTGAAGGAAGAAATGGTGGGATGAGGGAATTGCACAATGGATTTTGTATTGCTGCCCAGCTCTAGGTATTAAAAATATGCTCTTTTTTTTTTTTTGCCTTCTTGATTGAGTCAGATATTTGGTGAGTTTTTATATGAAATGTAGTTGTTCCAGGATTTTTCAAGGCATTGTTATCTTAGCTATCTTTGAACGGCTTCCTATTTTATCCCAGGTAGTCCTGTAACAAGTGACTAATGGCATCATCTAATTCTTGGTCTATATTTTCAATTGTGCTTTATTCACAGATATGGTTTTAAAAATCCTGAGCTTCTTGGTTCTCAGCCTTCAGTTGATGACTGCAGGGATGATGGTTTTGTGCTCCTTTTTTTTTACAAAGCCTATTTCACTTGTCTTAATTTCTAAATTTGTGTCCCAAGCAACTCAGCTGCAGCACAAAGGTTTTTGTTTTTTTGTTGGGTTTTTTTGCAAGAAAATCTCCTCCTAGGGTATATTATTTCCACACAGATAGACAATGTATGTCTGTGGGCTGGGCCTGCTGAGAGTGGGCAGGCCTTCCTGAAAGAGCAGCAGGTGCCAATGGGCATTTTCTAACTCCTGACAGCTAAAGGCAGGGTAGAGTGAGGTGGGACAGGCTGTCCAGAGATTCCCCTCCCTGACCCTGAAGCAGTCCCAAAGCAAACAAAAGAAAAAAACCTCAACCTTCAAAATAACCTTGGCCCGGTATCTGCACTTGTCCATTGTGTGGCCTACTGGTACCTTGTTCATTCAGTATCTTTTGGTGCATACTGGCATTGCCACCTTGTAGCAGGGCACTAAGGTGCCTGCTACTGAAAAGCAGCTGTATGGGCTCAGGTGCTGGTTGCTAGGGGCAACCAGGAGGAACTAAGGGCTGGCACCTGGTGGGTCAGCTGACCGGAAGGGGCAGGGCTGACCACCATAAAACAGACAGGAGGCTGTGGGTGCTCTCCTCTCTCTCCCCCTCCCAACCGGCAGCTGGACCAAAGGAGCACTGTTGGATCAAGGAAAAGAGCTTGGCCCTGAAAGGGGAAAAGGGAAAGGCTGGGAGGTACAATTCACTAGTTACAGGTGCGACATGGTGCATGGTTTAGAGGACGCTTTAGCCAGGAGGCTTAGAGTTGAGTTATAGCCGATTGGCTTGCGTTATTACTTAGGTTGTTTGTGGTTACACCGGAGGACCGGGTGAGGCTATTACGGGTTGGAGGAGGCCTCGGGCTCCACGGTAACGTGGAGACCCCGGTGCCAGAGAGGGCGCGGCATTTAGGGGCGTATCGACCCTGGCCCCAGGGCGGGCAGGATCGCGAGGCAAGGCCCCAGGGAGGGCAGGATCGTGAGGCAAGGCCCCAGGGCGGGCACAAGCATGGAGATGTCCCCAGGGCGGGTGCAAGCATGAGCGCGAGCGCAGAGGAGGCCCCAGTGCGGGCGGCAACCGTGAGACAAGCCCAGAGAGCATCCATGAGGGTGTAGGCAACTGAGACAAGCCCAGGGAACCCATGAGGGCATGGGCAATAGCAAGTCAAGCAAGGGGGCGCCTGTGAGGGTGCAGCAAGGGATTGGCCGTACAATGTCCGGTACATCTGGGAGGCTTGGGGCATGGTACAGGGGTGGTAGGAGCCACGCGTAGCCCCTAAGGCTTTAGTGCACCAAGTCACCTAAGGCAGGGTACAGACTGGGACACCTCAGGGCACCGTGTCAAAGAAGATAAAAGGCAGCCTCCCTTAAACACTAATAACACCAAAGACGTGGCGGGTGAGATGGTGAGGGTGCGTTGACACCAACTTGACATGGTAGGGGGTGCTGGGGGAGTTCACGGCACCCCTAGGCCCCGCACTGTCACACACCTATTTATAACGTCTTTGGATTTTCACAGTAAGAGCTTTTGATCTCCAAGGCCCCACATGGTCAGATGCTGCAGGTAAGACTGACCTACACTGAGCCCAACAAATCATCCAGGCTGGGAGCTTAACATTCTCTGACCTCCATTTCTTTTACCGTAACTTTCGTCACGATGCTGCATTTCTGGCCTCAACAGTGTTAATTAACAAAAGTGACACATTTTTTGTAGGAAATTTTTATTTAGGAATGGCTGAGGTTTAGCTTTGTTTGGGGGCTTAGCTTGGGACCGGCCGGGCCTTGAGTTGATACAGACACGACTTGGGGAATGTTATTTCTTGTGAATCTTGGAATAAACAGAGCAGGCTCTGTGAGAATACCACCAGTTTTGCTGCTGCTTCTCTCTACTTCCCTTCAGTGAACTTTAATTAGGGATGATATCTGACTCCATCTCACTGTTTCAGAATCCTGCTCACCTGCTGATATATCGCTCCAGCTTCCTTTTCTGGAATCACTTCAGAGATTGTTGAAGGTCTAGTGCATATAGTCATTTCTGATCAGGGTGATTGGGAGCATTTGATAATAAATGGTGATGTTCCCTAGCTGTAAGTGTATTCCGGTAGCTGTTTCTTTATGCAAGTTTTGTTTTTTGACGTTCTGCCCCTCATCAATAGCTATGAAACTGTTTACAGAACTGTTGAGTTGAATGGTTCAGATGAGAATTGTTACAAATGAACTCTATAAAAATAGATTTTGGTGTAAAGCAAAATGCATTCATAAAAGCCTGACTGTAATGAAAGATAGAGCAGGCAGAGAATGGCTGAATTAATCTTTTGAAGTACGCAGTTTTTCTGGTGTGATTGATTTCAAATGAACTAGAGAAGATGGAGTCCATGGAACAGCTTCAGGCTTTGCAGACTTGGTTCATACATTAGGTAATGTGATATCATTGAATTCAAATGGTTGTTAGCAACCTCAAAGAGGAGTTGGACTTAAATTTTTCACCTCACAACAGCGAAAAGGAAGTTATAAAGTTAGTTTATTTGATAAAGCTTTAATTTGCAAGCTGCATTTCTATGGCACACCTGATGGAATTTTAATATTTTACTGTTCGTGACACTTGAACTGAATTAAATGGCAGATGTGTTAGACTGCAAACAACTGAGCAACAGAGAGAGAAATATTAGCATGACTGAGAGAACACTTCAAATATCTGATAAGGCTTCACACTATCTTTCTCTTGATTAAAGTAATAGGATATATAGCCCTCAATTATTTCAGTTATTAACTGTGCTTATGACAGTTGAATTATGTATTCAATTAAAGTTCTGTATTTTGGTCCCTGAATAGCTGTGAAGTCTGTTGTGCAACTGGAGACCTTGGAGAAGCAGCTATGTACGTCACATTTGGAATAAGCATATTTTGTAACTTGTAACTTTTGTAGCTTGGTGAGTCTGTCACAATCATTTTTAAAGTGATGTAAAGAATAAGGAAGTTGGTTTTAATACCTTTTTGTTGCCTTGAGCCATGAGCTTGAAAGATATTTTAAGAGAAATAGGATATGGCAACATTAATAAATGAATTGAATTGGAAACTTTTAAAGAAAACTGAGGAAAATACATTGGTGCACAAGTAATAAACTAATATCTGAAATAAATATTTGCCAAGGTGATGCTAGAGAGATGTAAAACTGAAATCTTGAACCTAGTCAGCAAAGAGCCTCTGTTTGCTTTTAAAAGAGCAGTGATGTCAAAAGTGGGTCTTTACTGGATTCTAGGGTGAATAACTCTTATAGAATCATAGGGCATGTGTAGACGAAACAGGGTCCTATATTAAAGTTTTAAAAAAACCCACCGCTTTAATTTAATTTAGGACTGGTTAACCCCTGTGTGTCATGCATGCACCCTGCTGATTTACCTACCTCTCCGGTGGGGAGGGGAGGGCGAGCTGCCAGTAGGTGGAGTGGGGGAGGGGGAGGCTGGTGTTTCCCTCCGCAGCAGCTGCTGCTCCCCTCCCCCCCCAGGGTGGCACCCATCTGCAGGCACCCAGCTCAGGCGGTCCCGGGGGACACTACAGCCATGGAGGGAAGCACCGGGCCCCCATGCAGCTCAGGCAGGCAGGCTCTGGGAGGGTGGGGGAAAAAAAAAATCAGGCTTGCTGCTTTTCTTGGGCAGGGCTGCTTTCCTGGACTGCTGTCAGGCTGTCTGCAGAGCCGTGGAGCTGCATGGAGCCCAGTGCTTTACTCCGCAGTTGTAGGGGCAGCAAACTAAAACTCCTCAAAAGAGTTTTAGTTTGCTGCACCCCAGGTCATTTACAGCACATTACACTGCTGAATTTTCTACAGCAACTGGAATTAATGGGCAATACGCCACCAAGGCATGCAAACACTGACACCATTAAAGCGGTGCAAAAGCATTTAGTCTGCTTTAAAGTGTCTTGCAAACACACCTCTCATTTCATCTGCACATGGCCATAGGGTGTGTGCAGAAGTTGCATTTTTTGTGCAATGAGACCCCCGAAAGTGCTCTGTAGCCATAACACGATAAATGTTTACAGCTGTAGAGCACTTTTAAAATGGCCGATTGAATGAAAATTTAACTTTTGTCTGATGTAGTATCAAACAGAGGCACTTTAAGGCAGAGCACCTTAGGGTTAATTTTGTACAATTCTACCTGTATCCTATGTGGCTTTGTGGGGCTGGTGCTTGCCGAGGGAGGCACTGGCTCTGCCTTACCTCTGGGGCTGTCATGGAGGAGAGACAGAAAACCTCTGTCTCCTCCCTGCAGAGCTGGGCAGGAGGGGGATACACTCCTGCCATACATGCCCAGCCAGCTACCCCTGCTGAGGTCTTGGGGGGAGTCAGGCTGGGCCCACGTGGCAGGTGAGGCTACCTTCCCCTTCCGACCCCCTGCAGGAGCATCTTGACAGTGGTAGAGGCTGCTGCGCTGGAAGCTGGGGTGGGGAAATGGAGCCACCCACTTCATGGACCCAGCCTGGTCCCCCCCAAGACCCCAGTAAAGGTATCTGGGACATGTCTGCGAGGTTTCAGGGGGCTCTGTTTACCCCCTCCCACCACCCTAGTTGCTGCTGATGTTGCCAGATGATGGGGGTGGGGCTGGGTAGAGGAGCAGTTTGGCAGCCTGCTGGAAGGCTGCTGGACCACTCCTTCCTGCTGGCCTGGGCCAATGCAGGCAGGCTCCAAGCACCACCCACCACCAAACAGGTGATGCCTGTTTAGGTTAGATATTAGCCAAATGCCTGTTGGGTTTCATGGTGCTCTAACTCATGGTGCTTTGTGTAAAGCACTGTAGTTAGAGTGCCACCCTGGTGTTAGCACTGGATTTTTGACCCAGATACCTCATTCTGAATGGACCCAAACCCTCAGACTGACAACTTTTTCAGTTCGATAATAGGCAAACTTTATTGATACACAGTGATAACAGATAAGAACAACACAGGCAAGGCAAACAAATTACCCCCCCCCCCAATTCTATATCTACTAGTACTAAGGCTGTCACAGACAGAAGGTACATCTGGCCAGTACACGAGTTTCACCTTGTGGTTCTTCCTTGGATGTCAGAGTTCAGCAGTCTGGAGGTGGAGGGACTTTGTGTCATCTGCAAACTTGCTGAGGGTGCACTCCATCCCATCTTCCACATTGTTGATGAAGATATTGAACAAACTAGTCCAGGACTAAACTCTGGGCCACACTATTCGATTCTGGCTGCCAAATAGACAGTAGGCACATCTACATGTGCAAATGGTACAGGGTGGGTTTACTCTAGAGTAAGTTACTGTAGAGTAAACCTACCCTAGGAAGTCATCTACATGTGTGGGGACACAGGAGCAGATTTGCTGCTCCTGGCAGCAGTCTGCTCCCACCCTCTCTAGCCCTGCACTGGCCTCCTGCAGCAGCCAGGGGGAGCCTGTGGCCATCTTGAAAAGCCAGCCCTGTATGCTGTTCTCAGGCCACCTGCTTTCCTGGCCCAGAGCAGTGTGCAGTGTGATGACAGAATGCAGTGGCTCTGTCACTGCAGCCTCTGCCCGCCATGTCATGGCTGCTCCACTGTCAGGCCCTGAGAGCGATGTCCACTGCCCCAAGCTCTTGCTTGCCATTGTGCTTGCCCTACTGACCCACTGTGGGGTCTGCTGCCTGGTCCAGGTCATTCTCGACCCTGGCAGTCCCCCTGCATGTTGCAGCTGCCTGACCTGGCTTAGTGTGCCATCTGAGGCCTCCTGCCACCACCCTGCTGCAACCCAGACCTCATGGTGCCACCCAGACCCCAGCAGGCATACTAACAATGTGCTCCTAGATGTTACCACCAGAGCCATCCAGATGCTTCTGGGCTTCTATCCCCACCACCTGTGGGTCCTCCAGGTCAGCCAGGACTGGTGGCTGCACATCATCCAGACCACCTGAGATGAGCACTGGGATGACGAGTCCTTTCTGATGACCTGGGCCACCTTCCAGGAGCTCCTCAAGCAGCTTCGCCCACACATAGAGCAGTAGGATACAACCATGCGGCTGCCCCTCTCTGTGGATACCAGGCTGGCCATTGCCTCTGCTACATCAGCCACCTCTTTGGGATAGGCAAGGCCACCACTGGGGAGGCTGTCTTGGAGGTGTGTGGTATCCTCCAGCACATGGTAGGGCACACCATGCATGACCCCCTGGCAGTGGTGGTAGGGTCCATGCCCTGGACTTCCTTCATTCAATCAGGGCCCTGGACAGGACCCACATTCCTGTCACCTGCCCACCCCACAGCAATCACCCCTACTACAGCTGGTGGGACTTCCACTCCATTGTGCTCCAGGTCATCATTGACCACCATGGTGGCTTCACAAATATGAGCATAAGCTAGGCGGCCAGTGCCCACAACACCCACATCTTCTGCAACTCTGCCCTACCAGCCTGGGTGGAGAGGGGGCACATCGCCAGGGGTGCTGGACCTCCAGCTGGGTGTGATAGTGGTTCTACCACTGCTCATTAGAGACCCCAACTATTCTGTCCTCCCCTAGCTCATGTGGCTCTACACCAGCCAGCTGGACCCCCACCAGGCACACTTCAACCAGTGCCTGGGCTGGACCCATATGCTCATAGAGTGCACCTTCAGCAAATTCATGGATGCTGGTGCACCCTCACTGCCCATCTTGAGGTTGCTGAGGCCAATATTCCCTGCGTCATCATCGCAGCCTGTGCTCTCCATAACATCTTTGAGGCCTGGGAAGAGCTGATTCATGAGACCTGGACGGAGGAAGCACAGCAGGTGGAGGACACCAGGAGTGCCAACTGCAGTAGTAGCGACAGTAGCAGGATCGCGCTCTTCCCTCTCCCCCCCCGCTGAGGCCCCTGGTGAGCTTCTCACCTGGCAGTGGGGGTCAGGGTACCAGGTACAAGAGGCACTGACTGACCCCCTTCTGCACTCCCTACTGTAGCCCACCTGGACAGCCCCCCTTGGACCTCTGCCCCCACTGCGCACCCCCAGCACCACTCTCACTGTGGACAGTTCTCAGAAAACAACTTTATTCCCCTCCACAAACACAGACCTCACTTCCTCCTCCCTTCCCAACAACAGAACCCATAGACAGAAGCCCAGCAGCCCAACCTCTGGTTGTACCCTGGTGGGTGTGCATACTGCAGCAAACCCAGCAGGTGGAGGGCTCACTCAGGGGTGACTATGGGTGCGGCTTTGCCAGTGCAGCTGACTCCCCCTCCTGCGGCCAGTTGGCCAGGCCAGCAGGGCCTGCAGATGGTCCTTGACCCTGCTGTGGGCAGCTCCTGCCCCAGGGGTTACATGGAGCTGGGGCAAACTTCAGGGCTGGGCCCAGGCTGGGGGGTGGGGTTGGTGGTGGGACCAACAGCAGGGGCACCTGGCTGGTGGAGGTACTGCTGAACTTCAGCCCAGGACCATGGGGGAGTCTGCTGCTAGGTGGTGGGTGGCTGACAAGAGGCAGGCTTGGGGCAGGGCAGTGGATGGCACCAAGGTGACCACCAGAGCCAGGACTGTGTCCAGCACCCAGTGATCTTCCACCATCACCTCTACTGCCTTGGCCACCAGGACAGCCTACTGCTTCAGGGCCTCCAGGTGTCTCTTCTCCAAGGCTAGGAGCCTGGCTCAGAACTCCTGGTTTGCCCAGTCCCTTGCCTCCTTGTGCCAGTCCCTTGCTTCCTTGTGGACAGTGCCCTCCATTCACTTGGCCTGTGAGTCCACCAGGCGCTTCCTGGCCATGGTGACCAGCTAGTCCAGCAGCTGGATCTGGTGCTGCAGTCTGCACTGCCAGAGCTGGTGCATCTGCAGGGCCCCATCTGAGGCTAGCAGTGATCCTGACAGTGCATCCCAGCTGCCAACTGGTACCTCCCCTGTGCGTGCAGCTGCAGGTCCTACAGAGTCAGGAGAAAAGGAGAAAGAGCTTGTTTGTGAGAGTTTGCAGCATTTCTCAGATAAGATGCTCCGTACCATGGACCTGTGCACTGCTCAGCTTCAGTTTGGAGGTCATGTGTGCACAGGTACCCAGGAACCATGGTAAGTTGGCCAGTCAGGCCCTGGCCCAGGTGGCTGCCAGCTGTACCCCCTGTCCCTGTGTGCTTTGCAGGGGCAGCTGGGCTGCTG